TGGACAAAAACCACCACCAGGTTGCTTTATCTCGGTGCCATCATAGACACTGTAAGTTGCCAAGTCGTTCTGTTGTGACTCAGAAGAAACCTCCTGTGAGTTGTTTCTTGATGCAGGGCTGACCGACTCACAGGAGAGGATAACAAGCAGTTGTGGCTCGTTAGGATCTCCTTCGGACAAAAGATGATGGTGCCACGCCTTAGTTGCAATTTGTTCCGTTTCTGTTCTAGTCAAGTCTCTTGTTTGTTTGCAATCATCGAGAAAAAGCACTTGGATAAGTGATTTGATTTATATAAACCTGTTTTGCTGTAGTTTACTTTTGCCAGAGAATTTATCTGTGTTTATTTTGGGCTCACAGCCAGCAAGAGCCGGGACTGATTAAAAACATTCCTTTGCAAGCTGTGTGTAGCTGTAGTTTCTGGACGGGCAAGTTGGGGGTCAGAACACACATGTATGCACATTCCAATTTTGGGCGCTTGGTGCCGAAAAGGTTCGCCATCACTGTCCTAGGAATTCGTTTTTGATACTGCTCTCTTGTGTGAGAACTGGGTTCTTTCAGGCATGGGCCAGAAGGTTTGCTAAAAGTTTCTTCCCTCTGTCCCCTGATAGGTTCACCTTCACCCCAAAAGGCAGAGTCACAAATTCAACCCAGTGTCACTTCCGAAAGATTTACCGGACTGGGATTGGAGGCACAGCTGCATCCCTTGTCAGAAGATGGAGCTCTTTGCTGTCCTTTGTATAGAGACGAGCCACTATGTGGCTTTTGTTAAATATGGCAAGGAAGATTCCTCTTGGCTCTTTTTTGATAGCATGGCTGATCGGGATGGTATGTATTCTCTTGTGAACGCTCAACTGTTAGCCTGGCCCTTAAATGAATGAACTTTTTTAGTACTCAACATCTGTCGTGAGACTCATAATGTCACAGTTGAAGCAATAATTACCCAGTCTTTCAACCATGGCATATGCTTCTGTCAATGTTCCCCAGATTGTAGGGCACCTCGTTGAGAAAAACCAGGTTAATGCTGTAGGCTAAGACCTAAAAAAAAATCAAATATCTGCTCAGCTTTGGGAATTCCAAAAGTTACATCCAAAAGTGAATTTGGACAATAGCAGGATATGGAAAGTTGAAGGAGACAATATAATAGAATAAAAGAATTGGAAAGGACCTTGGAGGTCTTTGAGTCCAACCTCTTGCTCAAGCTGGAAACTCTAAACCATTTCAGACAAATGGTTGTCTAGTCTCTTCTTAAAAACCTCCAGTGTTGGAGCATCCACAGCTTCTGGAGGCAAATTGTTCCACCAATTAATTGTTTTCATGACCAGGAAATGATAGTTATAGGTTGGTTTTCTCTTTGATCGGTTTCCACCCATTGCTTCTTGTCCTGCCCTCAGGTGCTTTGGAGAATAGCTTGACTCCCTCTTCTTTGTGGCAACCCCTGAGATATTGGAAGACNACACAAACACACACACAGAGCCATATGTATATATCTTTTCAGGCTTTTCATCTTTTATCTTCTAGATATGGATACGTGTGCGCCACAAAAATAATGAAGCTGAGAAAGGTCCTAGAAAAAGTTGAAGCCGCATCAGGATTCACCTCGGAAGAAAAAGGTAAAATTCATTCTGTAATATTGTTAATGAGGAAGAACTGAAAGAATGCTTCACGTTATTAAACATAAGTCGAGATCGGATCTTACCATCACCATAATAAACCCTTTTAAGTTCATTGGGTAGCCCGTCCTTGTTCTAAAGGCTGTGCTTAAAGTGGCAAATTAACGAAGTTCTACATATGCAGAGTCTTCAAACGATTAAAGACAAGTGTCAGACCATCTCCAAATAATCTAAAAAAAACATTGGTTTCCCAGTTACGTGGTTAAGGGTTTACCATTTTTAATTGCGATTAACAGTTTTGAGACTTGGTTTCTTGCAATGTTTTGTAATTTTGTATTTTTGCTCTTAGTTTTTTGGGTTGTCTGTCTGATACCCTGATGAAACTCTTTTTTTCCCCCCCCCAGATCCAGAAGAATTTTTGAACATTTTGTTTCATCATATTTTAAGAGTAGAACCACTCTTAAAAATAAGGTAAACACAGTCCTTGGCTCACACAAGAGGAATTTTTAAAGCCACAAGAGTTATTTTATTATCTATAATTTATAATCTTGAGGATAATTTCCGGCAAAACGTTATGGCTGGGAGCACCCTGCAAGAATCTCCATTACTTTTATTTGTGTTTAGTTTTGTAACGTGTGAACATTTAGCTGTGCCTTTATCTTGAGAGCTTGGGGATATTTCAAAAGCTTTTATTGCTGCCTCATCCCGCTTACTTAACTTCACTGATAAATGTCAGTTATGTCTCAAACTTGTATCCGCTATAATAGCATCAGGTGTAGAGAACTTGTGGTCAGCTCAGTATTGCTAAATTTCAACTTGAAGCACTTATGGGCTCAGTCTCTCTATATAAATATAAATGTACAGACTGGTAACGTATCAGCTATTTAACTTTAAACTAAATAATCTCTTTACCCATTTGGGGAATAATTTATTCCAGGATCAAATCTGGGTCAGTCATAGCAATAGCAATAGCAGTAGACTTATATACTGCTTCATAGGGCTTTCAGCCCTCTCTAAGCGGTTTACAGAGAGTCAGCATATTG